CGAGAGCAAGTAGGGGTGTTGCTGCCCAAGGACTTGGCGTCTCGGGAAGTGCGGGAGGTACGGATAGCAACGTCCAAAGCCTTGGCGCTTCAAGTATGCGGCTTGGTACTGGTAGTCTTCTAGGCTCTGACCTGAACCCGCATGCAGGTGATAATCGTTCCTTTGTTGCTGCAGTAAACTCAGGTTCGATGGGAATTGAGAGTGGAGCGTTCCGTAGCCGGTCTCAAATTCCACCCCCTCCTACTGCTGCTACCGAATGGTGGGGGAGTGTCGCTAGTGGAAACACCCTGCTTCCTGGGGCGGACACAAACAGAGATGACTGGTTGGGTGGGGGTCTTTTCAAAGTTCCCAAAGGTCCTCTGTTTGATGGGACGGACGTAGCCTATCCCTCATGGTCCTAGAATATTCTGCTGAGTGCCCGGCACTAGAATTTGTACGAAGCTTTTGTTTCAGGTGTCGATATCCCGATTGCTGAGATTGGTTTTGACTTGACTCCATGGATTGAGAAGGGATTCAGTGTGGATGTGGTTAAGCAGGCTGAAATGGCATGGTGGTTTCTGTTTGACTGTTTGAAGAAAGACTCTCTGAAAACTAACCATGGTTAGGCAGGCTGGTTCAGCTAGCAAGGCGTTCCGCACTCTGAAGAATCACTTTCTTCCTCTGAGCCAGAGTCAAATCCGTGTCCATGAAGCTAAGCTCAAATCGCTTCGCATGCGTTCAAGCGAAAACCCAGCAGTATTTTTTGCTGCTATGCGTGAGACTCTTGATGTTCTGGAGATGCTCGAAGTACGGAAAGATGACAGGGAGGTATGCAACATCATGCTTGAAGCTCTTCCACACAAGTACAAAACACTGCGTGAGACTCTTGTTTTTGGTTCCATTGACCCGGTGTTCGTGCGGACAAAAGTGATAGAAAAGCACCTTGACTTGTTGACTCAGAGGAAAAGTAACAAGGACGAGGAGGTGGCACTGATGAGTAAGGCGCCCCGCAAGAGTAGTGGCAAGTCTAAAACTGTCGTTCCTGCTATTANCTCTTGTTTTTGGTTCCATTGACCCGGTGTTCGTGCGGACAAAAGTGATAGAAAAGCACCTTGACTTGTTGACTCAGAGGAAAAGTAACAAGGACGAGGAGGTGGCACTGATGAGTAAGGCGCCCCGCAAGAGTAGTGGCAAGTCTAAAACTGTCGTTCCTGCTATTAGATAAAGTTACACCATTAGACTAGTCAGCGCTGACTCGTCTAATGGTGTACCTTTATCTAATAAAAGATATGCTCAGAGCTCATTTGCACCCGGCTGGATCACTTGGGTCTGTATGGCTTGAATCTCCGGGGACGGACCCCTCGCCTAACGCTGCCTGAAAAGAACTTAATGGTGCTTGGGAAAGTGACCAGTCGGGTTTTGAACCCGTGCGTGAAACCTTTTTCGCCAAATGTTAAACCATTAGACCAGTCACGTGGTCTAGAGGGGCACGTGAAGAAGGACTGCCTCTCTCGAGTGATCGCGCATCCTTCTCAGGCCGGACCGTCTGAGGAAGAAGATGATGCCACCGGTGAGAATCCGACTTGGTTTTGATGTCTCTGTCTAGCATGAGTGAATGGAGTAGTGCTGAGTTTCTGGCAGCGATGTTCGACTCGGTGATGAAGCAAGTCAACAGCGGTGTAAAATTCATGAGTGACTGGTTGCTGCGCAGAAGGAGTGCTGTATCGAAGATTGGTATGCAGACACAGGCACTGCCTTTCACATGACAGATTCTCTTGCTTGCCTGAGGGATGTGACGTCTTGCCACAAGACAGTTAAAGGAATCGGTGGTGTAATGTGTGAGGTAGCACTGACTGGCACTCTAGACTTGGTGTTCGTGGCTGCTGACAGCGAGTTCTCGGAGTTGAAGAATGTGCTGTACTCTCCCAACTTGGGATGCAACCTCTTCTCTCCTGGCGCAGAGTTTGACGGCTCCTGGAACCGCCTTGGTGGGCCCGACAAAGTGTTGACTGCCTTCCATGGAAATGTTGTGTTCCAGAATGTCAATGAGATACCTTTTCGACCGCCTATCGTCTTGAGTATGAGGGTAGCGNATAGTGATGACTCTGTTGTTGGGTCGGTGTTGGCTGCTCTCACTCCCTCAAACCCCAAGCATGCAAGCAAGATGGATATCAACGAGTTCCATAACATTTACGCCCATGCGCATGAAGGCTTGCTTCGTACTACTGCAAAGCAGTTGAGTGTTGAGCTGACTGGTACCATGCATCCTTGCACGGGTTGCTCGATGTCGAAAGCGATTAAGAAAGGGATTTCGCGAGAAATTAAAAATAGATCATAGACTAGACTATAAGAAGTTGGGCAGAATTTTTGTAGACCTGGGAGGGAACCCCTCGCGTCGCGTCCATCGGGGGGTAAATACTACCCCATGATTATAAAAGATGACTACACGAGGCGTGCGTGGTTACATTTCCTCAAGAAGAAATCAGACGCTGGTAAGGCTTTCAGGAGTTTTCTTGCAAGTGTGCGTGCTGATGGATCTGACATTGAGTTTCTCTGGGGGGAATTCGCGTCCGTGTGCAATGAGCTCTTGATTAAGCAGGAGTTCACCCCGGCTCACACTCCACAATACAATGGTGTTGCTGAACGTGGCTTGGGATTGATAGAGGAGGCCGCGATGGCGGCTCGTATTCAGGCAAAGGTTTTGTTTGGGCATGTGCAGTTGCCCAAGACTGATAGGCTCTGGGCTGAATCAATGCATTGGGCTTGCGAGGCTTTGAACCACACAGCTTGCAGTGCGAACCCTGACTCGAAGTCGCCGTATGAGATGTGGTATGGTGAAGCCCGTCCTGCTAGACCGTATCCATTCTTGAAGCCGGCGTACTGCAGGTGGCAGCGACCCTCTAAACTGCTGCCGAAGGGTGAGAGTTGCTTCTATGTCGGCCCTTCGAGAGACCACCCGCGCGATTGCCATAGAGTGTTGACGAGGGGTGGGATCATTCAGGAGACTAGAGATGTAACGTGGGAAGCGCTGCCGTCTGAACTCCCTCCGCCGCAACCACCGCTGCCGATAGAGCTAGAGATAGCAGAGGAGGGAGGGGAGGGAAATGACGATGATGTAAAAGCTGAAGTGTGGCCGCTCATGGGTGAAGGGAAGATGTTGGAAACTCGTGACTTCTGGAGAAATATGTGGTGCATTAATGAGAACTTGCCCGGAGAGACAGGTCGGCAAGGTGGAGTGAGCACGGTGGGCTGCGCTCCCCATGGCTTCTCGCTACAGCTTTTCCTCAGCAATAAATCTATTCGCTGCAATCTACTCGCTGCAATCTACTCGCTGCAATCTACTGACCTTTGTGTTACGTTTCGTTACAATACCAAGTATCACCTACTACACCGCAATACACGTCATACATTCGATACTACAGCCACAATTCACGAACAACCTCCCTTGGGGCTGTCGTCTCGACCAGACCTAATAATACAAAATCAAATACTAACTCAGATCTCTACTTCTCAGCTACTGAGCCAAGGACAAAGTCACGGTGAACTTCAAAAAGGTTTCTCGGTAGAGCCTTTGTGAGGATGTCAGCATGCTGCTCCTTGCTTGGGACATGGGTGACCTCGATCACGCCCTCCTCCGTCAAATTCCTAAGGAAGTGGTGCCTCACGTCAATGTGCTTACTCCTACTCGAGCTAAGCGGATTCTCTGCAAGCGCAATCGCTCCTTCGTTGTCCTCAAAGACGCCAATTCCGAGGCTTCGCACTAGGTCTCAAGAACTGAAGCATCCCGTTCACAAAGAGAGCCTCCTTAACACCGTCACCCATCGCAATATACTCTGCTTCAGAAGTTGACAGTGAGACACATTTCTGCGTCCAAGAAAACCAAGACACAAGACAGCCAGCTACAAGAACTAATGCTCCAGAAACTGATCTACGGTCAGTGGCCTTGCTGGCAAAGTCAGCGTCTACGTACACTAACGTGCCTACGTCTACCGTAGTGTCCTGCTTGTACTTCAGAGTTAGATGTGCCGTTTCCTTAAGATAACTCAAAATCTTCTGGGCTGCCTTCCAGTCACTCTTCTTGGGCTCGTGAGAGTGTCTCGCCACCGTCCGCACAGCGTTCGAAGTTTCTGGCCTCGTATTGTTGGCGATCCACATCAGGCATCCCACCACTTCCCTGAACGGCACATCTCCTGCCTCCTCATCCTCCATCACGGACCTGCTATCGTTGGCAGGGGAAGCGGGGATCGAGCTGGTGCGACAAATATTGAATCTCTCTAGAACACTCCTGATGTAACTCTCTTGAGAAATCTCAATCGTGCCAGCCTCGCGGTCGCGACTAAATGCGCAACCAAGAAAGAATCTGACTTCTCCCAAATTCTTCGTAGGAAGAGAGTCACCTAGTGCCTCTACAATCACCTCGGCAAGCCTCTTCGTTCCTGCATACAGAATGTCATCCACATGAATCGCGATTATACCCATCACCTCGTCTCCCATCATGAAACGCAGGACACAGGGATCAGACAGAGACTGCTCGAAACCTATCCGAAGCAGGTCCGACACGAGCCTCTTGTAAAATGTTCTAGATGCTTGCTTCAAACCGTACAAACTCTTGTTCAAACGGACAATTTTTCCTGACATCGAATCACAGCCAGGAGGCAACTTCATGAACACCTCGTGATCCAATTTCGACTGAACAAAGGCTTGCTCAATGTCTAAGTGGAGTAATTCCAAGTTATACTTGCACGCCAATGCTACTACCAATCGAATCGATGCAGCATTTGCAGTAGGCGAGAAAGTCTCAAGATAGTCCACCCCATGCTTCTGCTTGAAGCCCTTCGCTACAAGCCTAGCCTTGGCCTTTACTATCTTTCCTGTTTCGTCTGCTTTCCATTTGAAAACCCATCTAGCATCAATCACGTTACAACCTTCTGGGATTTTTGCTGCTAACGTGAACGTTCCTGCTCGTATCAAGCCTTCAACTTCTGCAGACATGGCTTTATCCCAAATCGTGGCATGCTTCGATCGCAGAGCTTCTTGATAGCTACCAGGCTCTGGCTCTACGTCCTGAATGAGCTCTTTCGGCAATTCTACTGCATCACCTGCTCTCTGCTCCGCTATGAGTGCATGTACTATCTCTGATGCTGAGATGGGTCCTAGAGTAGCCACAAGGCCGGATACGCTCTGCTGATTTATCGCACGGGTTTGCGCACGAGTTCTACCAGCTCGGACCTCATCACTCTCACGCGCAGCAGTATTAAAATCAGCAAGGTCAACGACATGCTGCGGACGGCGAGCGGCTGGAGGAGATGCCTCCACCTCTACTTCCTGCCCTCCCGGCCCCGCCGACTCTGTATCCTGCCCTCCCTGATCCATAGACTCTTCTTCATGCCCTCCCGGATCCTCCGACTCTACTTCATCATGCTCTCCCGGATCTTCGGACTCTACTTCCCCCGTTTCCTGCCCTCCCTGCTCCTCCCCATCAGTGGACTGAGAAGATATGGAGGGAATTGATCTACTAGGGGAGGTTGGGAGGACCGCTGCACTATTTCGCAAAGGTGTGTGGGCAACTCCTCTTCCTACAAGTGGCCATACCTCAGCTTCTACATCGTCGTCACTTTCCTCCCCTTCCTCCTCTGCGACCTCTATCGGCAGCGGAGGTTGCGGTGGAGGGAGCTGTGACGGCAACGCTTCCCACGTTACGTTCCTCGTTTCCTGAATAGTCCCAGCTCTGGTGAGTACTCTATGACAATCACGTGGGTGGTCTCTCGAAGGACCAACATAAAAGCAACTCTCACCCTTCGGTAGCAGCTTAGACGGTCGCTGCCATTTACAGTACGCTGGCTTCAAAAACGGATACGGTCTAGCAGGACGAGCTTCCCCATACCACATTTCATACGGCGATTTGGAGTCGGGGTTAGCAGAACAAGCCGTGTGATTGAGTGCCTCGCAGGCCCAGTGCATGGCCTCCGCCCAGAGTCTATCAGTCTTAGGTAACTGCACATGCCCAAACAGAACTTTCGCCTGAATACGAGCCGCCATTGCGGCCTCTTCTGTCAATCCCAAACCCCGTTCCGCAACACCATTGAATTCGGGACTGTGAGCCGGGGTGAACTCTTGTTTAATCACAAGCTCATTGCACACAGATGCAAATTCACCACCGAAAAATCCCCCTCCATTGTCAGATCTAACAATCTCAATCAATGATGGGATCCCATCAGCACGCACATTCGCATGAAAACTTCGGAAAGCACTGCCAGCGTCTGATTTACTTCTTAGGAAATACATCCATGCACGCCTTGTGAAGTCATCCTTCAAAATCATGGGGTAATGTTTGCCCCCTATGGACGCAACGCCCTTCTTCCCTCCCAGGTCAACAAAAACTCTGCCTAACTTTTTGTCTGATCTATTTGTAGTCACATGAGCAATCGCCTTACGAATTGCTTTTCCCATCGAACATCCCGAACAAGCATGCATTTTACCGGGCAACTCGATACCTAGTCGCTTTGCAGTGGTCCTAAGCAGCCCTTCATGCGCATGACCATAAATGTTATGAAAATCGTTCACATCCATGATTTTTATGCGCTTGGGGTTTGAAGGGGTGAGGGCAGCCAACACCGATCCACACCGATCCAATAGAGTTATGTCCGAGACGATACGCAGTAGCAACAAGCATGCCATCGAAATTCTGAAAAGTAACATGCCCGTGGAAAGCAGTCATCACACCGTCAGGACCACCAAGGCCATTCCATGACTCGCCATCAAACTCTGCGCTGGGAGAGAAAAGGTTGTACCCTAACTTGGGGGCATATAGCACATTCTTCAACTCTGCAGAAAACTCGCTGTCAGCAGACACAAACGCCACTTCAAGAGTTCCTGATAGTGCTACCTCACAAGTTACGCCACCAATTCCTTTTACTTTCTCGTGGCAAGGTTTCACATCCTTCATGCAAGAGAGAGAGTCTGTCATGTGGGAAGCTGTACCCGTGTCCGCATACCAATCTTCGATGTATCTATCCTTCTTCGTAAGAGTGGAGTGTTCGCGAATAGAATCACGGACAACACGGTCACTGCCGACGTACTTCTTCAACTCATCCTCTGCTTCGGTATACAACGCTTCAAGATACATGGTATCATGGTGTTCCAAAACAGCATCATTTCTACTGCTACCACGGGACTCTTGCCACTTCTGCATGATTTTGGCATACATTGCTGCAATGTACTTGCCATCACTCCATTCGCTTGAGTTGGCTTGAGATAACAACAACACCAAGTCAGACTTCTCACCGTTCTCATCCTTGTCGTCCTCGGATGGTCCGGTCTGAGAGGGATGAGCCATCACACGAGCCAGGCAGTCCATCTTCAAGAGACCCTTCTCCCCACACTTGAAACACTTCCCCTGAAAAATATTTTTCTTAGACGAATCAGACTCGGAGTTAGACTTTGACTTCT